AGATAGCTCCAATTCGTGTTAAATCTATTTGTACAATCAATCGCACGACAGCTCTTTCCCATTTTGCATGTGTTTTTTGCGGCATTCAAATCGAACGCTAACGTCGTCCCTCAGTCTTTTTTGCTACTCAGTGGGTGTGAGTACAGTGACTTCCGCATGCTGTGACGTCATGCGCATACCCTTCGCAGTACGAGGAGCGTAAGATATTATAGACATGACGATCTGGGAGTATTTTACGCTTTTAACACAAACCAGCAGCACAGCGATTTGCAATCTTTGTAAAATAAAGTTTTGAGAGGTGGGAATAGCGTTTAATAGACAATCCCACTTAAAGCGCACGCAACTGTGCGAGATAAAAAAAGCAATGGATGATTTGGGAGTCGCTAACTTGGACTGTCTTGCGAACTCGCTGCAGCTTGTGTACAAGAGGGGCTGCCTTCGCAACATGTGTAACTGTGCTGACGCCAATGGTAGAAAAATTGTATTCAAATTTTAACTGCAAATGCCTCAAAAACGCTTAAAACAAGACATACAAATGAGGTAGAACAATACGTTATGTATGTTTGTAGTAGCCTAATTAAATATTTTTTGTCATACATTTTTTCCATCTGTATTTACTAGCTTAAAAAAATAATATATAAAGTATAACAAAGGAAAAAGAGCTCTTGCATCGGATTCTGTATCGGTATCGGCAGTTGTGTATCGGAAGTACTCCCATACTCCAGTCTTTCATTTCCTTTCCTCCATACAGCATGCTGTAAATTGCAAGTCGCATACTTCATTATTTAAACTTGTTAAATAAAACAAATAGCAAGTTTAAGTACTGAAGTATGCGATTGGAAATCCTGAGTTAGTACTGAAGTATGCAATTGGAAATCCAGAGTTGTAGCCTACACAGTATGCAGCTCTTTTTTTTTTTAATAAAAAAAAAGGTGATCGGGAAACAACCTAATCTTTTATTTTGATTTATAACAACATTTTGTGTGTCTTTTATGACTATTATTAACTAATTAGAAAGAAGTTATTATTATTTGCAATCGCTGAAGTACAGCTACTGAGTTAAACCATACTAGTGCCATCACTTCAGATTCTTCCTAGTGATTCTTCTTTATTAAACCATCACGATACTAGTGCAACATTGAGACGTCTATCATGCAATCGTCCATTGGCCCAAACCTAGGCACAAGTCACCACAGAAATCTCAGAGAAGCACAAAGACTTAAATGCTGTAAATGCCAAATCTGAAGCCACATTTGAAGAGAATTGCTTCTTAAAAACTGACATGGCAGCTTTGTTCTGCAGCCTGCTGTTTGTCTGGGTGCCGTGAAGGAGTGGATCAGAAGTCAGAAAGTTTCATGTACCTACTATGATGTGTGCTTCTCCTGGTTACTTTTGAGCATAGCAGGAAAAAATGTTCACTTAATTCAAAAATCTGTCCTTGCAAAACTGTTCTTGCTGTACCTCAGAACATAATGCAGGAATAAAAATCAAAGCAATTAATAGCACTACCTAACAAAGTTAACCAAAGGGTTTGGTTAACCAAGACCTATTGCAGGTAAGATGGTGTCTGATGATAAAGCTGACCAACGACAAAAGAAAGACTTTCTAGGCAGCATATTATTAATTAATTATTCATCTAGCAAACATATTCCATACAATGCTATCTTGCAATTCTGCGGGTACAGAGTAAAGGACTTTCTGTAATGAGGGCATCCTTTAGTTACATAATGAGTCATAATTACCAAGATGTAGCACAGTCATGATGACGATTGGGAACATCTTCATATGCAAAGACTTTACCCCAGCCAGTTAAGAACAAACCTTCCTTTACACAAATGCAACATTACACTGTTCAAGTAGCACCAGTCTTCACATCTGGTCAAACTCCACAGATCTACACCTCAGCATCATTGCCAGATTTAGCCAGAACATTGTATAAAATGGCATTGTTCAAACCGCTCGCACAATAACACTGGTTGCTACTTTCGCTTTAAGAAATACTGTGAGATGGTATGAGAACCAGGCAGCATAAGTCATTGCAGTACATGGTAGACATTCACTTGAGAATCAAAAGGGAAAGAAAACTGCTGCTGTTTTAAAGTTACCCTGAAGACCAGCAGTCTACAACATTAAGCCTATATGGGCCTGTTTGGAGTGGCACCAAATGGCTGCAAAAGAGGAGCTCTACGGCAGAACATCACCATCACACTTAGAGAGCCTGGTGGAGATCATGCTATACCAAATTCACACAGTACTGGCTGATGTGCCATTTCACTCCTACCACATAACAGCCTTACCATACAAAATATCCTGAAATGTGAAATCTAGCAGAGCACAGCAGTAGTTCTGTAGTACCGGTGCTCTCAAATACCAAGATTTTTGTTGCCATGAAAACGAATTAGTGCTTGTACAATCTTTAAGGTTTAATAAGACAGAAGCAGCTTTTCAAGCACCTGAAAGCTTTGATTTTTGGAGGGGGGTGGGTATTTCACTGGAGCAGTACATATTCCACACCTTGCTGAAGAACAGAGCACCAAAGGCCAGACCGGGACATGAACACATTAAATCTTCTTGATACAAGGACTGTTTCTTCACCACTCTGCCGCTTGCTAATTATGCACTCATGGGAGAAACATTTTTTTGCAAAGGGGCCAAACGGCTAAAAACAGCCATGAACTACCAAATAAAAACATGAATACAAGGCTGGCATTGGTACTTCATGCTGCTACATGTGTCCTGGCTGATTCTAGATGTGATATTTAAATACTGTTATATTCGATAATTAATGGGGGCTTATTGCAGTATTTACTTACAACAGAGGCAAAAAGATTTGCATGCACCAGTTTGACAGCTCAATTTTATATGTAAACTAGGGTGAAAAAAACCACAAAGCTGTATAAATTCATTTTAGACAGTCATTTGAAAAGTGACAAGAAAGTTAATCAGGCAATTTTATATGCGCTTAAAGAAAATTTTAATATGTATGCACCAGAGACCTGGTTCTCAGTTTTTCAAGAAATCTCATTTCCTTAGTTCATCATGAGACATTTCACATTATGTATGCAAGTTGTGAACCCTGGAGAATATTCAGCTAGTCCAACAATGTTTACTGTATACATGTCAATGGTTGGATTCTATCACCCAAAAATACATCCCGGTAAAGAGCAACTGACATGGAGACCTTTAAATCTAGGTCCTTGAGAGTCATATGGTAACACAATTCTCTTTTTATTGAATACACCACACGATTCAAATGACACAAAAAATCAACACATAAAATCACCAAAATTCACCGGATTTTGCTGTGCTCCACCGTTAGTTCAAAAAATCTGCACAGTGATGGAGCGGTTCACCTTGGTTATCTTATTAATTATTGTCATTAGAGCACCCATTTTAGGCAAGTGTCCGATGACACACCCTACCAGGCAAAAATCAAGTCAAAAACAGGCAATACCATTATGTGTATGTACAATATATACAGGAATTCATCTGACAGAATAGAGCCAAGTCATTGCAGAGGGAATCATGACGTCTAGAGTAAAACCAGATTTTTTCCTAACATGGGCAGAATGCTGTCGGCATTGCCCTCACTGAATAAAATAAAAATTCTTGTCATTTGACATTTACTGTTGGACACCGTTTTAACCACATCACTTGACAACGGAACTGGACAGGGGGCAAAAGTAGGTACTTTTAACGATTAAAATAAATAGTTGAGCTGGAAGACCGCTACCAATCATGTCACTCTCTTTAAAAGAAATATTAAAGGGAGCAATTGAAAGAAGGGACTATTGAATCCAGTGCAGAAGGTGTGACGAGTCCATTTGCACCTCCCGCGGTGCAAGCGCGTGCTCCATAAAATGACATTTCGTGGTTCCGACCGCTGCACGTTTCCATAGCAACACTCCCATTCGATGTTTTAAAAAACGACACTTAAAAGAGGTATGAAAAAGCAAACACACGCACATATATATACGTGTGTGTGTGTAAAGCGTGCGAGCAAATCCAACGCAATCTTACAAAATTAGCAGTCGGCGCAATGCTGAGGCAAATGAAACTATACACCAGTGTCAACGACGCCGCACAATACGGACACGGAGCCTCCTTGAAGTCCACAATTTAAGTTCATAGACGCAAGAAGTTTCTGAAACATTTCTTGGGTGCGCAATAAAAATATGGCAAAAAATAGACTGCCGTGCTAAAGGCAAAATAAGGAGAACCGCAACGGCTACAAAATGCGAGGGACTTAGTCTAGCGCTATTCCGGACCTAATGCAGTCACCAGTTTTGTCATTTATCAGTATTTTACTTTACGATCGAAATTTTTGTATGATTTTTGCGTACAATACGGCGAAGGCGAATTGCAGTTACAATAAAATGCCGGAGGGCATTCCCGACATGTCTGTGCAACCGTTCAAGGTTTAATGTGACACAAATCGGTTTTTACGAGGAATACAGCAAGTTTCCCCCGCCAGTAAAAGTGGACTTCGTGCAATAGACCCATGAAGTGGCAGTCTCCGCGTCCGCATCCCTTACAACATCGGAGTACAGGGGAAGCCGGCGGGGGATGTGGGGAAAAAGGAAAAACTGTCACTTCCAGGGCCCCGTCTGCGTTAGTTAGCCAAACTAGCCGCCGAGTCCGGTTCTCCGGGATGCCAACCGCATAGCTCGAAACCCAGCGTTTCTGACTGCTATGGGGGACAACTCGCCTAGCCAAAGTCGCAGCCCATCTCTGGCTAGCCGTTTAGCCAACGGCGATATATAATTTGCAACGGGATATCTCCCAAAGCCGGTTATTTTCAGCCCATTAAAAGCCCCGACCTGGTAGCTAACTGACATTACCGGATTTCTAGGCTCGCCCTGGGAAATCCGCCAACTTCTTGGCTATCGGGCCAGCCATCTGATTTTTCGACTTTTTTTCCTTACGCTCCTTTAAAGACGTCCGAAGTCGATTTATTCTATTTTCCGAATGACAGAATCAAATGTACGAAATAACCTTACCTTCCCCCGATCAAATGCCGCCCATTTCCCCCCACAGCAGCAGACTTTACTCAGGGCCTCCTCCTACTCCAGCTACGCGCCCGCGGCTGATGTTTTTTTTTTTCCTCTCCAGGTTTTCTTCACCGGAAGTAAAGCGAGGGTCTACTTCCGGGTAGAGGATGTCGCTGTGACGGACGGCCAGGAGAAACGGGGTGGGCGGGGCTGCGATGAGTTGTCAGTTGCCGATCTTGTTTTATCAGCTCACTTCCGATTGGCTCCTCCTCTGGTTGCCGTTGGAAACATGACTGATGCCCCCCCCTTAATACCGCCTTCCGCGGGTGCTCACAGCCCCGGCTCTCCTGGCCACTGCTGACCAGTACATGGCAGAGCGCCCAAACAGTTCTGGTATTCATGGGGCTGGGCTGCTCATACCCCCCACGAATAGCCAAAAAACGCCGGATATTTTATTGCCCTCGCCAATATCTATAAATAGATTTTAAGTATATTTTGTTTGATATACCCAACGATTAAAAAACGGTTTAAAGGAAACGATTAAACAAAATACTAGCGTGTGTACATTAAGAAATGTATGTTGTCATCGGCGAATAGGCCAGTCTACTTATTTTTCAAAACGATATAAATCATTTGCTACAGTATAACCGAGTAAAAGATTAAAGCTTCATAAAGTTTCTGCCATAGGATTAGATAGAACGTACTTTATCCACTTTGGGGAAATACCTGTTAGCAAGCAATATTACTAAGAAAAATCTTGATAGAATAGTTTCTACCCCAAGAGAACGAATGAATGAATGAATAAAACACTACAGATGATATGCATCTTGTAAATAAATGTTCTGCTGGTCCACTATTATTCATCAGCCTTAATCTATCTCCACTTTGTTCAAAGATATTTGTGGAATAACTCTTTAATGTCCCATGACACACCACGGGCATTTGCCACAGAACTTTGGAAAAGGTGACTCCTAAACTGCCATCTATAGTAACGATTTCTTTAGTTGAATTATTTTTAAACGGCCTTTAGGAAAAAAAATATTTTACAACAAACCACAATATTTCAATGTGAATTTTTTGGCTTACCATCTTCTTCCTATTTAGTCAAATTTTCTAGAAAACTACGAAAAACACTGAGGTATAACCAAACTGTTCCAAAATCATCATGCAAAGCATTAGACGTTTTATGTGGGGAGGGAAAAAACAGTAAAACTTTTACTAAACCTCTAAGTACAATGCCTTTAAGTAAAATAACAGTCAAATATGCTGTAAAACAATTGCACTGTAAGTCAATTGTAAACCTCAGCAGTTTACGTTTACTGCTGATACTACCACCTCAAGCACAAAAACACTCATATATAATGAGAATATAAAACAGTGGAATTCAATACCCATACGAACTTTTCACCTGCACTCATTCTAGATAAAACATTTCAAAGGCTACAGGTGCTCACAGTGCTGCATGTGTTCTTTTGCTCAACTGAATAAAATGACTGTTTAGACAGAAAATATCATCACCTGGACTTTGCAGGTGTGAATACATCACTGGGACCCTTTCCAGACAGCAGCTAATTTTTTACCAACAAAAGCCAATGTGATGATATTTCCTGTCCATAATGTAACAGAGGTCTGGCACTCATAGGGCCCATGCTATTGTTTCCCACGCTCAATGTCGTCTGTGAACAGACCCCAAGCACAACAATTACAAAGCACATTGGCCCCCTTGTGGCATCATTTCAAAGTGCAGGTCCTTCCTGGAGAGCCATCGCTTGAAATTAAATGCTGGAAAAATAGTTAAAACAGCTTACATTTATTGCTCAACATTTCTGTACAAAAGAGCCACAATATTCTTCTATGAGAAGAAATTTCTAATGGCAAAATATTCTATGAGTAGGCAGTTTTCCCCCCACAAACCATATTAACAAAGCAATAAATAAAAAGTACCATTTTAAACCATACGCAAAGTGTTCAAGTATCACTGTGATATATCCATTATTTTTAACATAATCTTAGTGTAAAATGTCTAAGTACTAGAGTACAGAACACAAATATTGGAAACAGGTTTAACATTTTAAAAATCACATATAGCTGTCATCCTGCTCAAAAAAAAATACTTGAATCCCCCTTTATAAAGGGCCAGCACAAAATGCAGTTAAGGAAGTGGCACTAGGGTACCATGAAAAAGAACCAAAATACACCAATATGTCAAATTAAACCAAATAAGTTTCATAACAAAGCAATCATGAATAATAATTAATGATTATTAAAACATGCAAAGAAAATAGAAAAATTTGAGTTCCAAATCACCCTTATTTCAAATCAAATTACAAAACAGGTGTAAGAAATACCATGTGACACTCCAGCTTGTTACTGCTGGAAAGTACCAAAATAGATTTTTTTAAATAATCCAGTAAGTAGAACTGTAAAATCTGTGTTATTATAAACAATAATAAACAGTATCTTTTACCCAGAATGCAGCAGCTCCTGTAATTAGAATGAAAAAACCTAAACAGTGATATACTTCATCCTCTGAGCTGGCAAAACCAATCAGGTGCTTCACATATTACAGACACATCCATCGCTGTTAAATGCTATATAATACACCTTTCTGATTTTATTTTAGAATGCAAATCTTAATCAATTGTTACTTTTTGTTTTTGCAATCTGTTTTCTTGGTTTTCAAAACCTACACATTTTTCCTGCCTTATTTTCCACTGTTAGGAGTAATTTAGCTTATATGGTGAGCAGTAAGTACTCAGTGAAGTTAAAGCAGTAGCACTTGTTTCAGCAGAAGAAATCAAGCTGACAGCAATGAGGAATTTTAAAAACGACACCTAATATCTACCAAAAGCATGTATATATTATTTACATGCTTCTGAAATAAAAAAATTCAGGAATTTCAATTAAAAATACCTCTAACATTCGTATACATATATGCACACATCTGTGTGCAGTCTTAATAGAAGGATGTCCACTCCGCCTCCACACTTGCACGAAAACAAGATCTCCAAAAGGAAAATAGCACTGATCGTAAGCTTTACTGTGAAAAAAACACCTGCAGCTGCTTTTCTGTGCAGCAGGCTGTGGAAATGGTACATAAAACAGCATGTCGAGTGTCAGTCTATTGGCATCAATGCATACATAAAAAAAAAAGAATTACTGCATATGCTGCTATACTCAAAAGAATACCCGTATAGAGACAGTTACTAACCAGGTGTTGAGACAAAATATCTCTCAGAATAAATACTAAATGACTTCCTGTACTTAATCACAGCCATTGTTATGCATTCTTAATGCCAACAAACGAATTATCGACTGACCTCAAAGACTCACAATTAAACAGATTTTAGTTAAATTATTAATGACGGACAATATATTACAAGTTGCTCCTACTTAAAGCATGTAAAACCCAACACTTAAATCGTCTATAGATGGCTATATATGGAAAAGAAGGTAATTTTTTTGTGACATCATGTATATTATAAATGCAACAAAGTATAAAAAAAAAATAAAAATAAAAAATGCAACAACATAAGACAATTTTTGGAAGGGGATCTGAATGCTTTATAGTAATTAAGGAACCATTTTGCAGATCTAGTGCACGTGCAATTAAGCCCTTAATAAGCGATCACATGACTGGTAATGGGATGCAGAGTGATCGCTGCTGCTGCCCGACACCTCCAGGCACAGGGGCTCCAAACCCCCGCTGCTCCCTCTCTGAATTGCCCATAGAGTGCTGTTGCGTGGATTTGCCCTATGATGGACTGCAATCCCAGGGTTAGGGTCCAGCTGACCCCGACCAGGATAAGCAATGAATGGATGGATGGATAACTACTACAAAGGAGTAAAAAAACACAGTAAAATGTTTCATACATACAGTATATAATGAAAATTAATACAGTGGTGCCTGCGGTTCACGAACACAATCCATACCAGGAAAGTGGTCGTGAACCAATTTGTACGCGAATCAAGACAACTTTTCCCATAAGAAAGCACTGAAATTCAAATAATTAGTTCACAAGCCTACCAAATTATTTTTGTTAATTTTCTGGTTTTTATATTAAAAACGTTAAAGAAAAACACAATATAGTGTGGAGACAGGCATTGTGAGAGCAGAGAGAGACATGGAGACTTGCTTGCCGGGGAAATCATGCTCTTTATTAACAGTCCTTAACCCTTGTATTGTTGTTGTTAATTAGTTGTTGTTAATGTTAATGGTTGCATTTCCCTGTAGTCGGGCGTATGTTTTCCGTGTCTTCTGTGTACCCGACCCGGTCCGATCCTCGCGTGTATTTAGCTTGTGTAAATCTCCCACCGTGTGAGCATCTTGCAGTTCGGCGTCTGACATCCTTGTGTTTCCTGTCTGCGTATTTGGCTTCGGTGCTTGTTGGGTGCCTGTTGTGGTCCTTCTATTTAGAATTGCCCACAGGGCATGCTGGGACTAGGGTGACCACCTAATCCATGTCAGGAGGGACACTATGAGCTACTTCAGCTTTTAAAAACTACTTTAAAGCTGAAAGGGTTCTGTGCTCTGCTAAAATGTTTGGTTAGTTCCTAGAT